GCCTTACTTTTGATTCCTTCGTGTTTGTTGTTCGACCTATAAAACAGATCAAAGAGAGCGTTATAAACGTTTCGAGCGTTAGCCATTCGTCAGAGTACACACTCGCTCTGATGAAGGGCTAACGCTCGAAACGTCAGCTTTAAAACTCTCTCTTTGATCTGTTAAATAGGTCGGCCAACAACGGTGGCCAATTTACGTTATTAACTCAGTTGATAGTACCAAATTACCTTTTTATACTCTCCTACCGACGCAGCACCACATTTCCCTTTAGAATCTTAACCCCTATATTCAGTGATCAAAGATAGGATTGCTTTGATATGTCGTCACTTCTTTCCAAGATGATGTGTTTACCTGCTATATTTACGAGGCTTTTTAGCTTTTTTTTTGATTATCATGCACTTTTCTGAGAGTGTTGTTTTTGTTGCTGTTTTTCTCTAGCTGTCGATAGGACACTGACTTCATCCTTAGGGGATGCTAGAGAGGTAAGTACAGTGAACGCGGACTATTTACTAAAAGCTCAGTCAAAGAGCTCTCGTCGAAAAGTGCACATAGTCACTCATCTCGACTCACCCCCTTTCAATAGACGATAGAACTCACTTTCTATTGGTTTACCGGCATAATAACCCCCAAAGCATATTGGGAGCACACGAGAAAAGTTTATAAAAGACAAGCCGGAGGCGTGTTCAAGTGGCTTATTATGACGATAAACCTACAGAAAGTGCTGTTTACTACTTTTATAAAATAAACTTCAATTTCTTTGGGTTTACCGGTGCAATTAGCGATAGGTTTTTGACCAAGCAGGGCGCTTGAAGTATATCGGTCGTTTTATTAGGTCCAATTTTGCCTAACTGTTATTTTCTTTTGGTTTTTCCTTTAGGCTTTGTTGAACGCGTGTATTGACACTCTTAGCGTTTACCGTTCCTCGGTAGCGAATCAACCACAGAGTAGCGGACTGATAGCGCCCTATTCTCTGAGATTACTTCCGCTCTTTATCTTGGCTATCATGAAACACGTATGTAGGACAGTGGACTTGAATTTTGGGTGTCTTTTACCTTCCTTTTTGTTACTCTGTTGTTTGTCCTAACAAGCGTGTTTTGTAAAAAATTGTTAAAGAGGAAATTTGCTAGAATCGATTAACAGAACAGGACTCGGGGTTCTTGGGGGTGGTTATACTTATGCAAGTTCTACCTGAAAATGACTTTTCACACATTTCCTTTGTGGAAGTCAAAATCGGACATATTCTGTCTTGATAAGTGATATTGCTTAAGAGAACGATCTAGTTTGAAAGGGGCTTATGAATGGAGCTGAACGTTATACTTCCAGATCAGTAGATGTGACGTTATCAATGTTCAATTTCCGTATGAAATATTGACATTACAGGAGGAAAATCATTTTGTAGGTGTCTGTAGAATGTGGCTCTACTGAGAGTTTACCCACAATAGTTTTCATCCGCTTTTAATGTTCTTACATGTTGCATTTTCAGATGGCGTTTCGTCTTGGCTCGACCTCTCGTTTGGACGAGCGGTGTTTTTCCATGCAGCAGCTTAAAGTTATGCCCCTCAGTTTGGTCATGTTATCTATTTATCCAAAAATGTATCCGATACACGAATTGTCGGATGAGGTACGCGTAGTGTTTATATTTTCTTACTTCTTTGTAGCGCCCTTATGTTGTATTTCTAGAGTTTAATAAACAGATTAAGACCGCCAAAAAGAATATCTAAAATATCCGTCGCGGTTGGTAAACTTAACCAAGTATACTACTTTATTTTCTCTTCCCCAGGGTGCTTTCCAGACTAAATCTGGCCTGGTTGCTAAGCCTCCAATTTATCACCTGTCGGGCGAAAAGCTTACCAGAAAAGGAATATTTCTTCTGGACGCTGGTCATGTGAGTAGATTAGGTTGTAACTTGTTGTTGTAAATTATCAAATACGGAAACAAGTGAGATTAAGCGATATGGTTGTTTATTTGTTTGTTTTGTTTCTTTTAAATAGGCTTTTTACTTTTGGGTCGGACGAGATGCCCCTATTGATGTCATCCAAGCTATATTCAATGTACCAAACTATGGTAGCATTCCAGAGAATATGGTGAGGTTAATTACTAATTATTTTGTGGAAATTTATCTTGGCTTGCTATTTCTTTGACTTTAAGAGGTGGTGAAAATTCATGGTATTAATGCTTGTTGTCTAAAATAACTCAGGTCGTATTTTTTTTCAACTTCGTCAGGCAGTCGGTAGTCATTGCGATGTTATTTTTGAAGAAAAGCTGTTTGAAATCGGCATAGAAAGTTGAATGATTTTGGAGCGCATTGTAATTGTGTTTCGTAACAAAAACCAATCATAATAAAGGAAAATAACATAAGGAACCAATGAGAAGGCATTAGAAGAACAAGGAAAACACTAGTGACACTATGGGAACTTGCGTCTGGTGGATGAAAGTGTGGCGTTAATTGTTTAGACCAATCATGGAGCTGAGTGAAGCAAAAGCAGTGAAATTTTGGACAAATTCGTCTGACATCTTCAGTAAAAATTTTGGTAGCCAAAATAATCACGAATCTGGATCCCTGTTAAATACGTGATTAGCGAGTAAACTAATCTAGGTTGATCACTGATGTGCCCTTTATTTTTTTCGTCACTTATTAGGGATCGCTGCCGGCGCTGGAAAATCCTCAGTCAGAGAGAGTGAGAACATTTTTAGATTATCTACAGACACAGCGATCTTGCCATGCAAACATCTTTGTTTTAAAGTAAGTTCCACACCGATCAACGGTGACCATTACAAAAAATAGATGGAGTTAACGGAACAGGCCTGTGAATGGTATGAGAAAGATTCACTATTCGTAGAAGAAAACTAGACGAGGGCAAATCTTTGAGAGTCGCTCGCAAGTTGCCCATAATTTTGTGTACTGTCTTCGAAGTAAAACTGTTTGCGGTTACGAACAGGTACATGCATCTTAGCTACAATTTCTTCTGATGATCCCAACGTTTTATTGGTAAAATAGATTATAGATTGGATTCTACAGGATAAGCCAAGCTTAAAGCATCTACTCTTTTTTTACAGGGAAGACGGTCGAATGAGGGGGCTATTCCTCCAGAATCTTGTGGACGATCGTTCGGAATCGGTTATGTCTTACTACGAGTTCCTCGTCCATATTCAAAAGCAGATTTCAAAGTGAGCTTAATTATTGGTGACAGTGGACTCGGAAAACGTAAAAACAGAGAGACACAAGACAAAATCCCACAAAAAGCGGAAGAATTCGGGAAATTCCGTGAAAATTAATGGTCTGTTAGCTTGAACACTGAAATCGTATAATGAAGCGTTACTACTCATGAAAAGTTATTACAGAGGAGTCATAACGGGACTTGTGCCGTAATTCGCTTGACAAGTGAATGAGAAGACAACACATAATGTATCAGTCCCACAGTCATTGGAATCATAACCTTCGGGGGTCCGTGTGATTCAAGCGTTGCCCCCTCCCCCCTCCCTCACTGCATAACTGGTTTCCCATTACCCGAAGAAATAAACTACGCAGGCAGACGGGTGAAAGAAGGGCAATTTAAGGGAAAATCTAGGGAAAAAACTTCCTGGGTGTTACAAGCAGGTGCAGCTTGTTATTTTCCAGAGAATTCAATGGGAAACTTTGTTTTGGTAGAGATTATATAATTTAGAAAATTTACGGTTTTTTATGAATAAATGTTGGAGCACTGCCATGAATGAACTTAAATTTTCTGAAGGCTCTATTTAATTTTTCATATGATTTAAAAGCTATTATATTTTGCACGGTTTTTCAGTTATTCACACAATTTTTTCTGTTCAAAAGTATTCCCCTTGTGAATAATTGTAAGTTTGCCTCACACAGCTAAAAGCTAGAACTTAATAGGCTTCGAGGTATTTTCGATCTCTGTTCGTTTTGCCATACCGACGAGTAAACGAACTGATCAACTCACAAATTACGGAGAGAGGTTCCACAGGTAGTTGTTATATGGTGAGAAATTAGAGTCTCGAAACCAAATTTTCTTAAAATCTCTTATAAAAATATTATTATGAGCTACGGATTTTGTTCTTGGAACAGAAGGGACTAGCTCCTTATTCTTTGAGAAAGATTACAGGCAATCTTTGATCTCGCTCTCATTAAACTGCACTTCACCATTGAAGAAGTAGATTAAATCTTACGGCTGTTTTATATGTGGTTGATAAATAAAACTGTTCTGTTTCTGTAATGTTCGTGCTGCTTTTTTTCTTTTCTATTTTCGAAACATGGAACAGTAGTTTTTATTTTTAATGACTTATCACAGTAATCAAGAAAGCTGCGTGCACAGGGGAAGCGGCTGCGCGATATTTAAAAACGGTCCAATCAGTAACTGCGGCGGGGGCGGTATTTTGCTCCACCACTATAAATTGAACAGACTACATATTTCCTTGTGGTAATCTTTTTCTCAATTTTCCCAGTGAGATCAAGATAAGAAAGATATTGTCCTGATAACCAAAACCTCCTGGTGATCTTTGATTCCACAAACTTTTTATTAGTTGCGGGACTTTGTTTACCTCTCTCCTTTAATACGCGGGTGTCGCGGGTCTTCGAGCCCAGTCTCCACCCAGAGTTCGTACTAGAAAATGGCGGCAATCTGCGGAAATACGTTTTGCTGTTTGGAGAGAAGGATATTGCAGGTATTTTGGAGTATGCCGACCATGAAGAAAATCGATACAAAACTAGACCAGTAGTTCGTTTGAAATGTCTGAAAATGGTAATTTTCAAGTGTTTTGGCTATGAAAAGGACAACATTTAAAGGCTTTAATTTTGAATGGCTTAATTTAAGCGCACTGTGATCGATTTTTAAAACTAGGAAGGAATCTTAAAAGTTTGCAACGCAGTGGAAAACAGAGATAAAAAACACACACTTCATTATACAAAGTTCTAATGATACTAAAATTTGCATAAGAGCAAAGTCGTGTGAATTTTTAACGAGGAAAATTGCATACCTAACAACATAGCATAATTCCGATCGAAAATGCTTTGGTACTTATGAGAGTGATGTGAGAAAAGTCATTTTAAGTGACAGTTTGTGATGAGACCGTTGCTTTGCGTTTTTCAGAAAATACTTGGCTTGCCTTTTGGTTTCATGGCAACCAACAGGGTGGCATTCGAAAGTCGTGAAACTTCTTCACATGCTAATTCGTTTTCTTGGTGCGCCAATCGATCTTTACGCTGCACCTGCCAGATGACAGCAAAAAATCTTTAAAAATGAATGACTTTATTACCATATTTGTCTTTGGGAGGCAATTATGGCTGCTAGGAAAGCCCAAACACTATGTTAATAAGTGACGGCGTTTGAGCCAAGCGAATTTGGCTGGCAAATTTATATAAATAGCGTTGGCGACAGTGAATGAAGATGGCGGTCAATTTAACAAGGCTTCTCGCTCTTTTCAGTGTCTTTTGTGTCCTGGCTGAAACAGCTGGATCTCTCCGTATTGAGAAGTAAGTTTCAGCTTTAGAGAATGCGGCAAGCGTGTGAATTTTTTTGCAACGAAAACTTGAGGGGATTTTCGTTTTGTTCTACAGTGTAAAGTCTTGGGCGGATGAGTTGGGAAGAGTGCTGTCTGAGTTCTTCAACAATACCACCCAGTACAGCAAAATTCAAGAGGTTAGTGTGTTGTGTTTGCATTTGTTCTGTGACTCACGCTTTTTATAACTGCTTCTGTATACTGTTAAATAACGGAAACAATACTTCGAAATTCACCAGTTGGTTCACGCGTCAAAAAATATTCCTCTTCATTGAAGTGAATAATTCGTGCATGCATCTCTGTCGTAGGACTACCATCAATCTAGTAAGCTTTCGACCACCGATAGAAATGGAAGTGCGATTGCGGAGAAGATGAAACAGCGCCTGGAGGGTATTTTGCAAGGAAAAATTGAGTCTATCAGGGTTAGTTTCCGCTAAATTTTGCCGTCTGATCAAGTTGCATGTGGTAAACGGTAGTTAGTAAAAGTGTGGCGTAAAGTGTTAGTTTTATTTTTAGATTGTAAATTTCGATATTCCCCCCAAAAGCGCTAGCGCAGAGTCCAAGGCGATGTGTTTTTTAAGCTGACCACTTTTTGCTTCCATTTGTTGTCTTTTAAATAGGCAGCTTACGAGAATTTGATTTTCTTGTCCGAATTGCGTGCATCCGTGCAAGCACACTGGGCGTAGATAATTATACATCTTTTGAGGCATGTAGGATACTAAGCCAAGAATATCAATAAAAAGAAATCACCATTTTTTTCTAGATCTGAGCGTTTTCTTCAGTCTTGGGCTTTAAAAATTTTATGAGAGTTGATTGGAATTCATGTTTTTAACTGACTTTTAAGTCAACGCAGCTTATATCAATAAAAATATATGGGTGTTTTAATTTTGTTTTCTATTTCTTGGTTTTAGCATTTCGTATTTCAAACCGTATTTCCAACTACACTTTTCGCTCAAATTATATTGTTTGTCTCCTTATTGATATCAATGTTTCTTCAAATGTAAACAAAATTCGCCAGTGGCAAATAACTTATAACTTCGAGTGTGCGATGGATATGCCGGCCATGAATTATATCAAGGCCAAATTGAGTTAGATTGTTTCAATATGCTTTAGAATGAATTCTCCTCTTCACTTTACGGATTTGGAAAAGCATAGAGAGGAAAAATTTATCTATAAATAATATCACTGGGGTATGATTTTTAATGCGGAAACTGCATGGACATTTTTAGCAGAAATTTGTGTTTTTATTATTGTAATTTTGAAATCCTAATTAAGAAGTCTTACATTAATTATTTGAAAAAGAATTGCTGGGAGATTTGACACCTAACAATTGTTACCCAGAAATTATCATGTGAAGTGTTTCTTGAATTTTGTGGCTCAGTTATCTTTTATCAGCCAAGAGTATTGAAAGCCCTATGTCACTGCACCTTAATGAAATACTCTCCATCTTGTCAAGTGTAGACCAAGCATTCATTACCGTATTCGTCATCCAATTGGCAAAGTGGTTAATGAAAGAATTTATGAGTGATCTCGGTCAAGTTTTTTGTTTTGGCATGGCAAAAATTTTCAATTTTTTTCAAGGGCCATAAAGCTCTGAAATTTTTTGGTGAAAGTTGCCATTTTTTGAGGTGACATGTATTTTGTTTTGAATATGGAATTTGCATTTATCGTCAGCCATCTCAAATATTTGATAACAAAATTATGTTGGAGAAAATGCTTTCCATGCTCTTAATCCTTAGCATTCAACACCCTCAGATAGTAATAATGGTTACATAGGAGGTTCCAGAAGGACTCCTTAGAAGGATAAAAATGAAACACACATTTAATCCATATCCTAGTGGCTATTTATAGTCCAGTCTAGAGCTCATATTTATAGGAACTTTGATTTTTCCTTGGAGTAGAATCTTGCTTCAAAGGCTGCAGAACTTAGAAAGAATTACACTTACAAGACTGGATCTGAAATTGAACAGGTTTGCATCTTTTTCAATTCCATCCTGTAGAATGAGTGGCAAAAGAAGTTAGCACACCTTGCCCCTCTGGGTGGTGTACAACCCTCCACTCAGTAGGATTAACATTAAAAGAAATCATGTAATTCATCTGTAGTAAATTACTTGGAAGTCCCCCCCCCCCCCCTTAACCCAAGTAGGGTTGCTCGAAATTAGTGAGGATTTGTTACCACCTGGCAACATTTAAATGAGGGAGGGAAAGGGGATAAACAATTTTTTTAAAAAAAAATTTTAAAAGTTGTAGAGTATACCAATACCTAAGCTGCTCAATCCAGTATTACTTTCAGAATCATGCTGTACTCAGATTGTGTAGCCAGGCATTAAAATTAGTTATTATACACAAATGATTTTATTATTTATTTTAAGTTCATAATTTTGAAGGATACTTATCATATACAGAAGGTATGGTCAAGGCTGATTTTGAAAAAAAAGAAAGAAAAAATAACAAAGTTTTCTTAGCGCCTTACCTTTGATCATTAAAATAATTTCTTCATGGTTCTCCTTTCTTCATCGGCATCCCTTGGCTTCAAGGTCAGGGATGTGTCCCACCATGCTTCTCCATCGTTGTTTAATTCCTTCATGACCTCAGATTTGCTTGTTTAACTCCTGCTTCCTCAAAGGAAGTCTTAGTGTCATCCTTTTCCCTGAGTGTCCTAATGCAGTAACCAAGCTGGTGGCATTTGTTTCTGCACTTTTCTATTAATTGCTCCTTTAGATCAGCAAATGACACAGTATTTAGATCTTTCTCTTTTTTTATATTCAGACTGAGTATTTTAACACTAAGGAGCTGACAGGCTTGCCTCTGGAAAGAGACCCAAAGTTTTCTGATAAATTTGCTATTAACAAGTCTAGCAGTGTTGTACACATACCAACTGATGTTTACAGTAGGGGTGAGTGCAGTCTGAGCTTATCAAAGCTGTTCCTCTGTAACCTACTTCTGTAGTTAAAGGCACTAGACAATCTGTGCTTGAACATTAAGAATTGAGGAACTCCTGGCAGGAACAGGCCATCAGTAACCATTGTGGCTGAGTTTTAAACATTCCATTTAACTCTGGGATGTTCCAATTGCTGAAAGGTCTAAAATTTGACTCATGCCATGAATATTTATTTAGTAGTGTTGTTTTGGAGTGAATATTTTATGGATACTTGGATTTGTCTTGGATTTATCTTTGTTTGGTGGTATCTGTTCTAAAGCGTGACAAAGAATTTCAGATTCCTTCTCTAGCTTAGTTTTTCTTGTGTAAAGCAAAAGAAGTCAGAAGAAAGAGAGTTTTATTGACCAAAATGAAAAGGTGTAAATTGGTGTTTCTTTACTTTTCAACCTGTAGTTTATCTCCTCTCTTCTCCCTCTCTTTTTGTGGTCATTGCACAATTGTCTTCTCTATAATAGGGGTGAAAATTCTCAATACCATTAATTGGACGGATGGACTGAATAAATACTTCAAAGAAAATGAACAGAAAGACCCTTCACTATTGTGGCAGTATTTTGGAAGCTCTGATGGAGTTTACAGGGTGTATCCAGGTTAGATTGTAATTTTAAGGATTTCATTTTTGTGACCCAGTATTTATTCACAGGGTTTATTCTAGAGATTAGCCAAACCTGATCCAGAAAACCCTTCTTCTCTAGTTAAGGGTTGCTCTTTTTCAAGAAAGGGAGTCAGAGAAAGGTGTGGTAGCCTAAAAGGTGCTAATCCAGAAAAAGTACTACTTTAAAATTATAGCACTTTTGCTCTGGGAATAGTTCTCTGCATCCCATCTGATCCCATCTGACTCTTGGACATATTAAATTTTATGTAGCTGTTCTTTTCAAAGGCTGCAAACCCAAGCTCTCTGAGATCCTTAATGTACATTTAAGGTACAACAAGATATCACTAAGTTACCATGAGAAATTTTTTTTTTTTCAATTTTGGGGTAAACATTCAACAACTGCTATTCCACATGATTTGAGTCAAACTTGAGCCTGGGAAATGATGTGATGCATGGTTTGGACAAACTCAGCAAAATAATTAATCCAAAGTTGTTTATGATTCCCAGGTTTCGATTGGGGGAATAGTGGGACAGACGTCTACGACAATAGAAGACGCAGCTGGTAATTAAAATTTGTACCTTTTATTTGACTTCAAATACGTATATCGCATCATTATGGATATATTAATTTACATCCATGCAAACACCCGCCGGGAACAATCCAAGCTGGAATCTTTTCAAATACCATGAAAAGCAGCAAAAAGCTTTTGACTAAATATGCTGCAAAATTAAGTCCCCAATTTGACAACCTGTTCTCCAGTGTTGTCAGCTGTCATGTAGCAATGACCCTTTAGTTTCAGAAGTGATTTAACTTTACCCTATGATATCCATACATTATCAAGCAAACAAAAATGAGAACACTCAGACTTATCAGGTTGAAGGTGGTATCTTGATCTAACAAAAAATTCTTATAACTAATTTACAAGGAAATGTGTAGCAGCTAGAGGGGAGAATTCACAATCAGATCTTTGGAGCTAAAGGGTTAGGTGTTTATGGTCTGAAGTTAGATTCAACATTTGCTTATGAGAAATATATATAAAAAAAAAAGGATCCACTGTTGCCTTTTTTTTTTTGGTTGTCCAAATATTAAGTCTTGAGATTTAGCTTTAACTTCCCTAAAGGATTGTCATCTGTGCGTCTGTACCAGCAATAGATGAAAAATGAGAACCAGAATAAAGTGTGTGTATTAAATTCAGCTTATCTCATTGAAGTATGTTGACCATTTTTGATTTTAGTTTGCCAAGTGGTGCCCCTTAAAAATTAAGTTTGGATCCCTGGCTTGCACCCAGTTGTTCAAAGGAGATTTCGCTCCCCAACCAAAGGTTAAATTTTAACCTGGGTTTTTTTCTTCTTTTGTTCAAAAGCCTTTTTGGGATAATTTTCCCTATCCCTTTGAGAGCATCCAATAACCATTTTCTAGACAAAAAGAATTATACTGATTTTCTTTTTAAGGCTTTCATATCCAAAATCAGATTTCACACTAATCCTGGATTGTCATAACCCAGTTTTGAACAATCCAGCCCAGTTTCTTGAAAGCCTGTTCATACATTAACAGCATGTATGAATTACTACATGGTACTGCCTATGAGTGTAGGCTTGAGCAATAATTTTTGTCTTCTTCTTACTGATAGGTATATTCAAGGATCAAGTGCACCGAAAGACTTAATTATGGTGCTAGACTTGTGAGTATAAAGTTTGTAAGAATTTCATTTCATTTTGAACACTGGATGACTAGAAACTGGTCAAAATCTTTTACTTAATTGTGGGGGCAAGGGCCAGCTTCACTCACACATTTACTCAGGATTCAATTTAACTCTTAAGTGGGGATGTGAAGAAGAAGTAAATTCATAAGGAATGGGGTTACAGTAAAAAGACTTTTACAAAAATGCACTTACATATGAGATGGGATGAAAAATGTAAAGATACTATGAGACAAAAAACTTGCCAAAGGCTGAGGGAATGTACAAGACATGAAAGACTTCAGACATAGCTGAACACAAAATAGATCACACATTGCAAAAAGGGGTGTAATGTGTGATATATAAAAGGCTCTGTAATTTTCATAAAGTGCAAAAATAATGGTGTAGAAATAGTACTTGGAAAAACAAAAGATATGTGTAAATTAATGGGAATGGAAATGTAAAAGACCTTTTTCTGAGATATCAAAAAATTGCACATTCATCACAACATTTATATTTGTACATATTATCAAGTGTTGAAACTTAATCTAAATGTACTTAATTAATCTAACTCTAATTTAAAGCCTATCTCTTTTGTTATACTTTTGCTCATCTATATAATTATGTTAATACACGATTGAAGTAATTCCATGTAGTTGTTAATTTGAACAGTAATTCTGAGTTGCATCTATTTCCTCACCAAATTGATTGTCAGTGTAAAGTAAGCAGGATTGTCTGATGAAATCTAATAAATAAATATTTTAAGTATATTCAAAATAATTACAAAATTAGTGTCCTATACTTTTTGTTTAAGTGGTGAATATATTGTCTTCTGACTGCTTGTTACATCTTGTTACATTAGAAGTGGCAGTATGGCTGGTCAAAAACTGTCCATTCTTAGACTTGCATCATTGTCATTGCTTGAAACACTGCAAGAAAACGACTTTGTTAATATTGTTGCAGTGGTGAGTGATTTTAAAATAAATACAATAGTTGATAAACTTCCAGCTAAACCCTTGATAACAATACTAGGTATCAAGTTGCTTCAAATGCAGTTTTGAGATCACTATATTACATTTTGTAATATTTGATTTTCATAAATTTACTCACATTAGTATGAAAAGAGATATATTCGAATCAATTAGCTTCCCTCTCAGTAACCTTTATAATACTGTAAATTTGATTTTTTTGCCATATGAATATAAAACTGCCAAATGTAACTTTGAATCACTTTTTAAGTAAAGTGTGATGCAGTAACTTAATGTGACTCATAAATCAGAAGCTTAATTTAGTTAATTAACTTGAAAAAAAGTAATTTGATAGAAACAGAAACTTTCATTCTGTTGCTGCTTTTCCATAATTAAAAATTAAACTTGACACTTAAAAAAGGAATTGTTACAATTTATCCTACTAGTGTTTGAAAAATAAAGTCTTAATAAAACTTCTTTTCTTTTCTAAGGGCAAGTTTACATTTATGTGCAGTACGATCATGTGTTTTGTGATTATTAATTAATTTAAGTTCTGTTTTTCTTTAGTATGAAGGAGAACCTGTAATGTTGTGTCAGTTGAAGAAAGATGGGAGTAGGATACCAAATGATGACCTGGTAAATATTTGAATAGTTCTAACACTTTTATTGCTCACTGATGTGAATACTAAAATGAGATTTAAGAGACTGGTGTACATCATGATACCTGTTCATAATAAGATAATTTGCCTCTCAAGCAAGCTGTGGTGATGAAATACAAGATGTTTTGTGCAATCTGCAAGCGCTTATTATACATGAAGTTATGTGTTGTGATGATGCAGAATCAAATAACTAAAAGCATTATTCTTTACTACAACTGTTAAATTTGTTAGGGAGTTCCCTCCCACCAAACATCTTGCAATTTTAGTATACAATATGGAATGAAATATTACAAACAAAAATCATTCACCTAATTTGGTAAAAATATTTGCATTGCTAGCAAAACAAAAAAAGATAATGAACTACTTTCAATAGAAGGAGCAGAATTCTAACCCTACACTACTTTACCTATGCAACTAACATAAAAGTACTTAAACCTACCAATATAGTTATATCACCTATCTAATACCCTGAAAAAGGGTTGAAGCCAGTTCCTGAGTGAAAGACTAAGTTACATTAGACTGAAGTCGTTTGTTAATGCTGTTATATTTTTAGCCTACTACAGAATGCAGCAGGCAACTGTTGCAAGCCACTGCCCAGAATAAAAAGGTTTGTGACTTTGCTCTTTCTTTACTAACATTTTCTTTTGAAAACTAACAGTTCAATTTCTGTCATCTTACAATGATCTTTATTCAGAGGAAGTTTTTTTGGCCTCTACTTTTTCTGGGACAGTTAAATTTGATAGTTATGGTAGTTATTTATTAGTAAGGAACATTTTATGCTTTTAAGTTTTATTATTCCCATGAGCAAATTTAGTATATAGCTGACATGGAAAATGGAAAATGCGCAAGAGAACTCAAGATCCAACTGGTTGTCAGTTACATTGATATTGTATATCCACACCATTCACACTCTTATTGATTGCTATCCATTTTATTTTCAATAGTTTTTACAGCAGTTTATTCCTCAAAATACTTTTGCTAAGGGGATTGCAAGAGTCAGTACTGGATTTCAATTAGCTATTGATGTGTTGAAGGTAATATTTAATAATGAAGTATAAATCTGATGCAGCAGGAGAATGGGGAGAATGGAAACTTATTTATTTTAATCTTTCTTCTTGTTAGGTACAAATTACAATGTTGTTATTAAACAACTGCAAGCTTTTACAGATCTGATGGTTGAAAATTTTATTATTGTACAACTTGCTATCCACTTCTCATACTTCTCCTCTTTCCACACCCAATTATTATGATTAAAATTACAATGATTGCTGTTCTTGGCATAATTATTATTACTAGCAACTTGTCTCATCTACAGCTGTTGTTGCTTTCCGGCCCTCCTTAGCTGGTGCTGTCTTCTTCTTCCTCCTTGTTTGCCTCTTTGTCCTATTAATAATCATTCCTGTCATAATTAGAATTACTGGTTTAAGTCACATGTCAAGAGTAATTGAAAAAAAAAAAAGCTATTTTTTTCCTTTTTTTAATTAGGACTCAAGAGAAAAGCAGAATTTTTCATCATCAAACTGTACACAAGCAATTGTTCTTTTCACTGATGGAATGGAGGACAGCCAATACGAACTAAGTAAAGACATATTTAACAAGGAAAACAATGATAAAAAGGTTAGCACATTTTATCAATAAAAATCAATAGACTTACTGATCCTTGTCAAGAACAATAGAAAATTAAGAACCATTATCAGCTGAAAAGAATTAATTAAGGCTTTTACTCCTGAGAGTGACCCAAAATGAATTTTTCAAATACAATATTAACACATTTTCAAGCAGAAAAGAGATGAGAAGAAAAGAAATGTCAAATAGGTGATACTGTGTGATTAAACACCCAATTCTCATAACTAAAATGATTAGATAGGTGCAATGAATAGTATAGAGAATTGATATTTAGATCCTGAGAGTGAGGGCTGGTTCTTTCTGATTGATGACAGCTCATGATGACCTGTTGAAAACCTCAGAGGAAGCAAAAAAACAAAACCTCTTCTCTAGATCTTAGGAGTTGAAAATATTTAAAAAAGTGAAACATTGTTGATGTCAGGGCCTAATAATTGTTTGAGGTTCATGACTGCATATTTGTGGTGTCCATTCCAGCATCCTTGGAATTAGAACCACAAAGTGTCTGTAACTGACAAACATGTTATTCTCATCATTCTCATCAAATAACTCAATGTTAATGTAGTGAAATGTGGATTTCATCATTACTTATTTATTATTTTTCATTTCATTTGTTATACAGATCCATGTTTTTACTTACCTTGTTGGGAGTGAAAAAGGAGCCAAGTTTGAGCCATTGAAGAAAATTTCTGATACTAATGGAGGTATCTTATGACTCTCAGTGGTTTTGGAAAATATGGGAAGCAACATTATTTGATTTTAGAGAATTGATGATCTCTTGAAAGAGCTTTCAGGCAACAGGGGCATTTTAAAGAATTTTCCAGCTTGGAAAAATGCTACAGCCCAACTTTTATCAAGCTTGCAACTCTTGCACCATTATGCCTTGGTATCAGTAGGGAAAGCTGGGCAGAATTTGGAATTTAAAGGGAACAAGGGAGAAATTTCAAATTGTTCAGAGGGTTATGCCTCTTGGTCATACATGATCTTGGCAAACCTGAGACTGTTCCACAGTCAGGTTGACAAAGCCACTTTTTAAGAGCTCTAAAAAAAAAAAATGTTCTGAATAAACAGAGTAATGTACTTTCTAATTTTATTTGAACAAAGGTTGCTTGTTTTATATACAAACCCTCTCAGATGTCAGGGAGAAAGTTCTGGTAAGTGTCATGGATTGTCCAATTTAGTGGTTAAAGCATAAATTTGATGAGGTAGCTAGGTCACCATCATGTGTTTATTTGATTTAATTTTTAAATTGACAGAGCAGTGATCCTTGTTATAAAGACAGAATCAAATCCAGATGATACATTTATTTTGCTCAACGAATGAAACTGTCTAAAAATGTATCTTTTCTTTCTTATCTTTGTCAGTCATATGTATCAGTGCTCAGTCGTCCATTAGCCTTTGCTAAGGGTGGACCAGACACATCCTGGACCCCAATTTACCTTGATCAACTGGTGAGCTGTATTTTGTTTAGTTACTTAAATTCTAGATAGTTTCCAATGGTGATTGGGAGGTCTTACAGCTGTAGATCACTTTTTTCACAGAGTGCATCTCATCTTTTGTAATATTAAAGGAAACACTGGCTTAGCTCGTTCTGTGTGCCTACAGAATACATGTTTTTGCCCTACAGTTTGCAAAGATGTGAAATACATATGACTGTGTGACCTTCAGTTTGCTATAGTGTGTAAGAGGGTACACTTTCTGCTTTCTGGTCTTCTTTCAGCATTTTCTTTCAACACTTTTCTTTCATGCGATAAACATCCTACCAACCCTTTATTTCCCATCCATTCTGTAAATGTAAGACCCCTTCCCATTCTTTTTTTTCTTTTTTTTTTTTTTAATCTCATTTGGATGGTAGGTACACCTGAGCCTGAAACTATACAAATCTGTGAAACTGTATTTCAGGTTTTAGAGCGGATTGACAAAATTTCTTATGTTCTGTTATTTTTCATGTGTAGGGACTCGGCTTAATGATCACACTTGTGGCTCCAGTGTTTAACATCACCAGTCCTGTATGTAAAATGAGATCACCTAGTGTAATCTAATCCCCTTGGTCCTGGCAAATATCAGTAGACTTCGAGCGTGAAGTAAAAAAATCAGTGAAAAAATTAAAAAAATATGTTAGCGCGTTGTGCGGAACTCTTGGGGTGAGGCGCACGAAAAGGACAGGGTTCCGCGCGGTGGGTTAACTGTATTGCCCCTTTTTTTCCCAATGACTTTTGTTGACTTGGACGACGGACTTTGCCGGGAAAAAGGGGCCTTCTCGTTGTCTAATGTATCAGCGTGCTACTGAGCTAATCAAAAGTGTGAAGAGTAAGAATGCACCTTTCTTGATATCCTGACATTCAAAGTGCTTGCATGAAAGACATATACGTTCTGTGAAAAGATTTCTAACTTTCATTACAGGAAAGGATTATTATAGGAGGGAACATCTTTTTCTTCTATTCAGGTTTTTTTTTAGGCCTAGGGGTGAAATTGCCTATTCTGAAATAACCATACATAAGGCCTCTTATGACTGGTCTTCTGTTTTGTTTTGTTTTGTTTTGTTTTTTTTTATCACTTACATGATATCAGGAAGATAAAGGACAACTGCTGGGAGTGGTGGGAACAGATATGCCATTACCACAACTGGAGGGCACTGTCCCATTGAGTGAGGTTGGTCTCTGCAGAATGATAACTAACTGTTAAACCGAAAACGTTCATTACTCAAGATGTTAGTGTCTTAAATTCCGGATTCAATTATTTATTTATTATTATTGATGATCAAATGCCCGTTTATTATGGCTGACCAAACTCTCTTGTTCCCTCTCATATTCAGGTCGGGGTGAATGGGTATGGCTTTGCAATAAACAACAATGGCTTTGTAGTGTTCCATCCAGGCCTCAATAAGAAGGTATGAATCCCTCTCTCCTTTTGTGCCTCATCTACCTTTAACTGTTACATAAGGCTCTTTTTATGTTAAATTAAAGTATTAGAATTTATGATAACAGAATAAATGTAAGACGCATTATTGTATGTATATTAGGAAGGCTTATGTAGAAGAGTAACTTTTAGTACGAAGAGTAACGTAAATGGTAAAGAGGTGAAATTTTATTTGAAGTATTAAAGCGCATAAAATAAGAGTAACTATAACTCTTTTTTACCAGTTTGTTTGTGTAATAAACAGAAAAAGTTTCTTCTTAGCTTAAGACATTTCTCTTAGAAGATGTTTCCATTTGAAACATAAAATCCTTGACCACATTTCTTTGTCAAATGGACCCTGACGCAAAGTGATCATTCCAGCTGTGAAAAAAAGATTATTCGACCTTATAATGCATGGTTATCTTTAGCCTCTTCTTGCCTTTGCTAAATTTATCTGCTTTAAAAACTCCTTGCGGTAGCCAATTTGGTTTTTCAACTCAGGAGATAAAACCAAATTTTCTTGTAACACCGTCACCGACGCAGCACCACAGTTTCTTTAGAAACGTACCGACTTTGTTCAGCAACCATGCCGATGGCATTTGACTGACAGATATTTTCTTGACTGTTGCTGTGACGTCTGCGCGGTTGTCAAAACGTCCTTCGTGGTTGTCGAAACGTCCTTCGTGGTTGTCGAACGTCCTTCATAGGCAACAGTTTTTCGATGAATTTCTCTTACCCAGTCTACATTCCTCTTACCCAGTCTTCATCATCTCTACTGAACTATCCCTTTTAAAAGTGGATGCATACATATCAAGTCCTCTCTCTACGCTTACTGGGCCTTTCATTCTCATTTTTTTCTATGAATTTGCTTCAGTTTTCATTCTGTTTCACTTTTGTTGATTTTTGTCAAAGTGGGTTAGGAAGCATGGCGAACCGCCCAAAGAAGCAAAATTGGCAGATAACAAAGTTGTAAGTGTGACTGCAGGTTGTCTTACTTCCAAGGATGAACTGTTTATAATGAAATTTCCCTCCATTCCTGCATGCGAATAATATCATCCTGCTGTAAAATATATCACCGAGTTATAAGGGTGATGCTGGGTGGGAAGAATGGAACGAATCATCAACAAGAAACCGTCTCAGTTTTTACGGTTAATCAAGTCATCGTTACCACTAATGTTGTTTTTATTGTTATTGTTATTATTGTTATTGTTATTGTTATTGTTATTATTATTAATATTATTATTGTTATTATTATTATTATTATTATTATTATTATTATTATTAGTTGTGTTGTTTAAGGGAATGATTAATGGCCAGTTTTTCCATTCTGTCTCTGATCGGTAAAATTTGATGGAGAATTAGTGGATCTTAGTGACAGGAGAAAAGAGAGATTCAAAACTACGTTTACCCTTGAAAATGTTGACTTTTGTTGCGAGGAGATTGATCATTTAGTGCCGTGACATCTTACGGAGATTGATCTCTGCGACCTTTACAAAAGTGTTTTCTTTTACTAAACTTTGAAGAAAAGTCAATATCACTTTATTGTACATTTTTTTTAATGTATGCATGTGGGGGAGAAGTGCCGGAGTTTGTTACTGTAATTTGATTTTGCTTTACTCATTGAAATGTATTTCGTCTTGAACATTTTGGGAAAAGTTCAAGGAATTTAGTATTGAAAAACCTCGATGAAATGATAGAACCAACTTCAGTGGCAACCTTGCAGTGACTTGTATGTGCAGAGTATTTTTCATCGAGAACATTCCTTTGATTTAACTACGTAACACTCTTTCTAAAATATAGTGCTGCTTCTTCTGAATAGTCTCTGTGTGACTAAGATACTTTTCTCATGAACGAAGAAATGAGAGAAGGCAAGTATCATGGTAACACAGAAAGTCTATAGAAGAAACCAGCACTAAATATTAAACTGAATAAAGGATTAAAATCCAGTTAAAAAGACCACTATACAGGTCTTAAATTGACGTTGAGTGCACTCTTAAACGGGGTTTACGTCTAGCAAAATCGTCTTTTATGATAAGGCGGTAAATATGGGAACTCATGCTTTATTTAGATTTATTAGTGCGGAGCTAATTGTTTGTTCATGATTGTTATCTCATATTTTCCACACGAAGCGTTTATTTGCTCTGCAATAACCTGATAATGTAGTATTACAGTTGGAAGATGTTTAATTGAATGTCTAAAGTCATCCGGGTACTTTGGTCTACTTCGCTCTGTGATTGGCCCCAAGAACCTGTGGCACCTTTTCAACCAATCAGAGGCAGCACTAAAACAATCGCGACGTGGTAAATTACGTTTTCCCGCGGTTGAGAGGATGGCGCGAGTTTTCTGAACCAATCACATAGCTGAGTTGAACAAAAATGAGAAAAGCAGGCTTTACTTCTGCACTCAACTGAAAATTGCTTTATCATGATGTAGCTTGTATTACCCATGACATTTTAGAGACGTGTGCTATCTCATTCGCAAACGAGTGAATAGTCTTGTTTCTTGCAAGAATCACTCTATATGAGATTGTTAGAACAGAGAAGCTGTAACTAATTTTCAAAATGGTTGCGTGGTTCTTTACTGAGGTTTCTGAGGGAGAAACAAATGGAATGAAAGAAATGCTGTATTCTGATAATCACTTGAGTCAGTAAACGAGCAAGAAAAAGTTAGGGTCTAGGAATAAACGACAAAACTCCTTTCTTACTTGGAAATTTATTTTATTGTGAAATATACGTAATTCCTGGCATTGTGTTAACAAAATCTCTATCAGAATTGCGTTAGATTTGTTACTAACGGTATTACTCACATGATCTGTTCTTTTTTTCTTTTTTTTTTGTCATTGTGTAGAAAGATCCCCCGAACATTGCCCTAAATGAAGTGGAATACAATCAGGAAGGTGCCAAGAAGGTAGGCCTGTGTAGGAAAACTGGACTACGGTGGTTTTGACGTTATAAGTGCAGCATTTTCAAAGGGTGGTAAAGGGCTCAACAGCCTTTTTAGCGTGCGTTATCCCTTTAACTCCCAAGATCTGATTGTTAATTCTCCCCTCTAGCTGCTACACATTTGCTTGTAAATTAGTTACGAGAATTTGGTAGATCAATATGAAAACTTCTGCCTGATAAGTTTGAGTATTCTTATTACCTGCTTTCTGGATAGTGTATGGATATTATTGGGAGAAGTTACATGTTGATCACTTCTGGGAGTAAAAGGGTTAAGGAAGTACAATGCAGGCTGACGCCACTTTTGGAAAACGAACTGTGAAAAACAAAGTTGATGTGGAAAGTAAAGTTTGTCTTAAAACAGTAGCTGAATGCGTAGGGACAGGTAAACAAGCCAGTTCTCTGATTTGTCCTCTTGTTATCGTTTAAGCAGTTAACGAAGGGAGAATCCTCTTTCAAGTTTAAGGCGTTGCTTACGCGCTTGAACAGAACAGCACAGTCGAGGTTTCTTTTCTTTTTGAAATGAAATATGGGCGACTGGACAGTTTTGGAGCAATCTTTATACAAGACCAAGTCGTGAAAGCATCTGATTACAAGGCTTTGGATCGATCTGGAACACCGGTTTAGGACTCCACCATACTTTCAAATTCACGAGCGTGTATCGTTCTTGTGCATTTGCCAGGAGGCCACGGAGCGGTTTTTGTACCAGCATTTTCAAGTTGTTTTTTTTTCAGTCGACTCCACTCTTAGACATACTAATTCTCTCGTGGTTTAATGTGCTTTCCAAGTAGTTTTCTGTTTCCCCTTTTGGATAATTTATAATTCCCTATGATTTTAACGATAGTTTTGTGCAGTGCATATAAATAAAGAGCGATAGCATTAAGTAGCGATGCTATCTCCTAGCAGTGATCATATAGCTGATCATAATTGTCTGTTTAGCTGGTGAACACAACAACAAAGAGCCCTTGAATGCATATTTTATATGTGACTTTTTCAGCTTATGCGCGAGATGATTGATCGAGTGACTGGAAAGATGAATTTTAAAAATCGCTTGATATCTGATGACAAGGTAATTGTGATTTCATGTTATGAGTAAATTGAAGTCTTTGTTTTTGATAATTAGCCTGCCCGCAGATAAAGATGAGGCCTTAAGGAACGCAAGTCGGCTACAGGTCTGAGGTCTAGCACTTCCCGACTTCCGTCTGAAATCTTTTCGTGGGCAAAGAAACGCGCGTCGAGCAGCGCCTGCTCCCAGACTTTTTGAAGCTGTGCTACACTAAATACTTAAATTAGTTACTCTTAAGACTTTTGTAATACCCTGCCAACGACTAAGACTAAGTAGTACTAACTCAGTTACTACTACGTGACCAAAAAAAACAAAAACCAGAGATTTGCTTCAAATTTTGCATGTACATTTTGTCAGTATTTTTGAATGATGTTGGTGTATTAAAATGGGAGCGTTCGAGTTGTCAGAGGTTACCTTTGATGGATTTGACTGTGGTAAATTTCCACTTAATTTGTACAGCTCAGACTAAGCTTGGAGGACGATTTTCACTTCTTCTACAGTCCTGTGGACAACACATCTTTCAGGTAAGCTTCAATCGCTGAGTTGAGTTCTTCAAATTTTTAATCGTTGTAGAACGCATCTGTAGAGTCTACGATAGCTGATTTTAAAATTAGGTAATTCAAATGATTAGTAAGCGTTAAACTCAAAAGATCAAGTGGGGCTTATTCTGGGTCCTATTTCTGGCCAGACTGGATCAGAAGTGGTGCCCTAGAAAACAAAATAAACCCCTATGAACATTTAATTATGCATGAAAGGGTAGTTTTTCGCGACCTGCCCGCTATTGCGATACTTTTTTCGATAAATTGCGGATCGTTTGATCGCCAACGAGTTTATTAAAACATTTTGCACACTTACGGAGCAAGCTAATGGCGTTTAACGTTAGGTCGGCAAGACTTGATCGTTTGAAAAGAGAAAGTGTTCTTTGGAGAGGTTCTCCAGAATCGTTATGTACTTATGATTTTTGCTTTATTAAAAGAAAAATTTGATTTTCCAGTGCTGCTGTTGCTATCCCTAACTATGGTCTCAAATTGCTTCAGGCAAGAGGCATGAACGTCGATGGTATGTCACCTCATTGCTTGATCTTCTGATCTTTGTTGTGCAAACAATTTTGTTTGTAACGGATGAGGTGATGTTTTTCATTGTTTCTGTTTGTTGCAGATGCAGATGTAAAGACGTATTTATCCAGCTCTGAGAATGACGAGGATGTGATAGTAGCTCCTTGGTGAGTTTATGTTTTTGTAAAGTGCCATTAAAATATTAAAACTTAAGGAGCGGCACCTGACTGTGTCAAGTGTCACTGTATCTAAGCGACAATTGCGCGTGCGTTCTTCATATTCCTATCGTACTCACTTATGACGTCAGCAAACAAATGCCTTCAGAAAAGAAATTCCTCCGCGACTGACTGCGAAGTTCCCGCCTAGTTTGGCAGCGAGCTTTGAGTTTTCAAGATGGTTATTTTGTTCCATCCCGATTGAGGTAGACTTCCAGGGGCTCAAAATGAACTGTAAATATCCTAACGGAAAGTCTATTTAGAAAAGAATAGTCTTTGAGCGTAATGAAATAAGCTTTCGGGATAACGATACTTTGATTCTCAAATGCGATACAAAATATGGCTGGAAAATGAAAACTGAGTTTGCTGACTCAACCATTCTTTGGACCGGTAAATATTACCTTTAAGTGTTGACATTTGCTTAACCTAATGTCCAACAGACGATTTTGTTTTGATTCTGACCCATTTCCGAATATTCTGTAATATGAAATGTAGTCAGTGGCAATACACGCGGAATATTGCCTTCAGTCATTGTAATTATTAGGGGCACCACGAAGGACACCTTGGTAATTATGTAACATGAAGGACCCTGAATGTTTTGCTTTGGCTTTGCCAGTACCAAAGCACAAACCACACCAAGCGCTTTATGTAACAAAGCCTTTGATTTATTGTGTACTTAAAAGCTTTGTTACTCTTTTTTATCAGGGAGATATGTCGAGGCACTCCGGTGGCTGCAAAGGAGACGACGCCAGTGTACAAACCATCAACTGCAAATGCTACTGACATAATCGATGACACGAATCGAAACAATAATTGTATGCTATCCGTCTAATTCACTTAATCATCCCGTTCATTGCATTCCATCCATTCCATTTTATTTTAGCTAGCATAGCCGGTTTACAAATGAAGGAAGAGAGAAAATTTTATTCTTGCAAACTGCGATTGTTTTAGGAAACTCGAGGAGCTGATGGGTGGTGCGCGAAACTCCGGGTTGAGATGTCAGGATTCGAGCCCCGGCCGGGTCAGGTCGTTTTGCTGTGTTTACGGGCAGAACATGTTCCTCCTGCAGTACCTCTTTCTTTTCCCACGATTATTAATGTATACCGGCAAAATCTCAGAGTCTCGGAGAAACCTAACAGATAGCAGAACTGGAGGGATGGATATAACTCTCAATAGACAGGCATCCGATTTAGGAGTGGTAACACTCCTTGTCGCTTTATACCACGGAGACTGGGTCGCTTACATTGTGTGGGCAACTTTCCTCGATAGCAGACTTAACTTTCTCAGCGCGTTTGTTAGAATTTGAAAAAAACGATTTCTGATCGGATCAAACGGGCTTGGTTCGCGCTCGCATGAAATCGCACATCAGACAAATGAGTAGCGCGTGAAATCTCTGTCATTATACATGATCTCCCAACTAAGATAATTTGTGAATTCTTAGGTTTCTTATTCAGCTATTTCAGCGACAAATATGTATTGGTTTCTCTTGGAGCAAGATTTATCAGCTGTTTGCTAAATACCGTAGGAAGCAGAGGAAACTAATGTCATCTCTTTTTGGTCTCAGGTGATGAACATAAGCTGCAAAATTTGCTTTTTGATGCAAATTTGACGAAAGAGAGAGCAAGCAAAAAATGGAATGCTAAAAAAATGGAAGAGTAAGTTTTTTTCCCCTCTCAAATGTCTCTTACGAAATTTATGTCAGCACATAGCTTATCACGACCTCTCTTTTCGCAGAGACAAAATTCACAGTGTGTTCGTAGCAACACATGGAGGCATTATGAGATTTCTGAAGACAGGGTATGTACAAGGCTCTCAATTTTCAAAGGTGCTACGTAGCAGTCTGTGCGTCTTTAAAAAACTCAGGCCAAATTTGAAATGCAGATAAAAACGTAAGGAATAATTCTTTTTCTAAACATTTATCTTGGTCTTGGGGAACGTTAAATTTGTTTTAAAACTCCTAAGGCCGAAGAAAAAGTTAGAAATTCAGCTGACCGTAGCTGCCCGTGATCAGAGCAGCAAAATACTCAACGTTTTTCCTAGTTTTTTGTTATGAAACTTTTTTTCTGGAAACCGTGGAAAAAACAGGGTTTCTGAAGCCTTGAAAATATTGTTTTCGTCTGTGTGGGGAGGGGTGGGGGTACTTAGTCTTCTAAGACCTCTCGAACAGTTCACTCCACCATTTTAACTTAGAGTTATTTAGACAATAGAGACAGTAAATCACATAATATCTGTGTGAGTTAAGATAAATTAGGTTTTTTCTGTCTCTGCGATATTTTCGTTTTTTGAAAGTTATGCTCTTTTCGTTGACAAAAACGAAAACATTAAGTACCACAAACTGTCCCATCTCAACCCACCCGGCCAAAAAAAATAAATCTTGCATGCTACGCATGCCTTTGTTTTTTAGGATTGGTATTGTTTTTTTTTTTTTTTTTTTTTCTATTTTTTCGAAAAGTGCGTGCTTCACTTAGAGCATAAGACACACGTCAGCATTATTTTTTATCTATAGGTGTATCTAAGACATTGCATTTTTTTTCTCTGAATTGTCTTAATGTAGGTCTGCAGCACCATTTACAACGCGAGACTTCATGAAGGAGCAGTTCTACAAGGAAGCTGCCCAATATGCTCAAAAAGAAAAAAACTTCATTGTTCTTTCAATTTCCTACAGAGGACAAAACAAAGGTATATGTTTTAAGAGATGAACAAACCTAACTACCTAACCCAAGACCCCCTTCTCCCTCCCTCCCTCCCACCCTCTCCCCCTCGCTACTTGCTCCCCACCCCCCCCCCCCCATCGCTTCTTGCTCCTCACCCCTCCTCTTTAATAAAAATGTGGTGGATGTTTATTCTTGTAGTTCTACTACTGGTTCGTTTATGCCGTTCTTTCATAAAATTTCGGTTGTTGTTGAGAAGTCAGACAAAGTGGCATGATCTCGACATGTTGAAATGAAAAGCAAATGGCTATGTTTAGATGATGCGAAGTCAAAAACTGCCTGCCTAATTTTCCCTTCTACTTGTTGTTACCTAGGCAACCAACCAGCGAGTAATGAATCGATCGTCATCAATGCAAGTTCTGCTATTGTGAAGGACGACGTTGTTGCTGCAGGTGAGTATAATTTACAAAAAAAAAATGCCTATTTTTTGTAACCTCGCATTTGCTGGTGGTGAGAATCTGGCGAAAGTTTTAGATACCTGTTTGCTCATGATAATTTTCACTTTCTCTTGAACCTCTTACCCAGTTTATTATTAATATATCTTGTTTCCCGTTAAATATCTATTTTCCGGTTATCTGCAGCAAATGTCAATACTCTATTCCAGACTAAGAGAACGGCCTTAATTACTTTTGGTAAAACTGAATTCGCTTGTGAAAGAGGGGAATAGCAAAACTATAGGTCTACAAAAATCTATCATTGGACCTCAGTTCAAGAGAGTATACAGATCCATACCTTTTTTTAAGACCGTTCGGTTAATTCTATACCATCTTCAGATTAAACGTGGCCAAACGCCATACCTTTAGCGTCACACTGCTACCCATTTCAGGCTCAAAGGAAGTGGAGACGAGCGAAAAAGCGAACGGCGGTCGCAGTAGTAAGAGAAACTTTTGGCGAACGAGATCTCTCCTACTTTATTTTTTCCCTTGTGTTTGAGCCCTACCGTCTTTCACATGCTCGCTTTTTTGCTCGTTTTCTCTTACCAAGCTCCTGATATAAGACTTTACACCACCCGCCATGAAACTTCCAACTCAATTTTCCACTCTTAAATCACCAGTGGCTGGAATGCAATTTGATCAGGAAAAAATGCAAGAAATCTTCAATACAACTGCTGGAAGCGAGGTATAGTAACTATTTCTTGATCTACAGAAACGACCATCCAGCTATGACTTCTTTCGAAAGACGGATGTCTTCTGCTTTTTTTTGTATTGTAAACTATTTCATTTTTCTCGACTGACTCTAAATGTTTATTTACAGGTCAATTGTCAGGATTCAGAGGTGAGAGACATTTCACATATACGCACAATTTCTGATTGACCTATTGAGGCGAAAGTGTAATATTTTCAATTCCCATGCATTTCAGGTGTACTGCCGATTGATCAACGATGATGGCCTCATACTAGCATCAAATCAAAAGGACAATGAGGTACGCAGGTAGTGGATCAGGCCGAATCTTTACCTGTCGCGTAAAAGTTATTTTCTTGTCACAAAACTGTTGTTCTCTCGTCAACAAACAGGTATCCTCTTGTTACAAAACATTTTTCTTTGTCACAGAACATTTTTCTGACTTTCTGATCATAGCGTGAATTGTTTGTACTGTGACGTTATCATAAAAAGAGTCGTCAACCTGATCTACCGAAATTCGAACCAGATAGTTGCATTTTCAAGTTTATATTTCTCTATTTCTTCAAGGTTGGAGAATTCTTTGGCGTTCCAGAGGGAGCAGTTTTGAAGCATTTCCTCAATAACTCGCAGTTTAAAGAGTACGTTTCTACACATTCTTTCAGTATTTCAAAATCGAGATTGCATTGGATATAAATTTGAGATTTCACCAGATGTTTCATGAACGCTTCCCCACCCAACTTGTTGGCTAGGGCGTGTTGCCGTCATCGTTTTATCTCTGTTTTCTCTTTTTCCTTACTGGCTCTTTCATATTGTTATTAACCTGTGTACCAAGTGCTTGTTTCAACCGAGCGCGAGTGATTAAGTCTGGCGCGCAAGAGCGAGATGTCACGCACGCATCTGCTCCGCTGTACGTTTACAGTCCAGCAGGCCCTGGTTGTTCGAAGGATGGATACATCTCCATCATATGGATAGCGCAGTACGTTTTGTCAACTCATCCAATGGATAGTGATTTATCCTTTGGATAACGTCATCCACCCTTTGAACAAACGGGCTTATTTCTCAATCTTTTTTATAAACTTTATGAATTTCTCAACCGTCATTGGCGATCAGCAGCCAATTTGAGCACTCGTAGGACATCGTATGCACATTACTTGTAATTGGAGAGTTTATTAAGACAATACTTGTCATTTGAGCGCGCTGCTATTGCGACTACGGGGCATTTTTCTTCCGAAAAAATGTTTACCAACTCTGACCTTACGTAATGATTACACTTAACTGATTGGTTATTTTGTTTCTCAAAATTTGACTTGGTTTTGAGTAATAAGGTACAGGACTTCTGTCTAAGAGCATATTTGTGATGGATTAACGAGCGTGCTCTCTCGCGGTTGTTCGATGTTCATCACTCGTACGATTACAGACCAAATCAATTAATGGATTGACATGTTTTTATCGCAGATTTAATTTTAGCAACGTACAAGGAGAGTGCAAAAAGCCTCAGAAAATCGTATCCAGTGCTCGGACACTTCTGAATGTAAGACCACAAACTTGTAATCTTTTCTGATAGTTCTCAAACAAATCACGTCTAACGAAGTAAAAGTGTTTCTTTTTTATTTTGATTACTGATTTTTTGTTCCCTTTTTCAGCCTCTCTTTGCAGTGTCATCGTATGTACAATTCTGGACCCAGACTGTGTTTTGGTAAAATGCAATGTGTTTGTTTGGAACAGAGAGAAAAAAATAGTTCATAGGTTTTCTTGACTGTTGGATTAAAAAATGGCGACACCTAGTAGATCCTGTACGTTTTAGAGCCATATTTCATATTGACCGGCGAGCGTAATCAGGGATCGTTTCACAAATTTAGTGCGCTTTTTGATTGAGTGTAGTGAAACAAAACAAAACTAATCACAACGACCAATCAGAAGAAAGGAAAATACCGTTAAGAGCCAATGAGAACTCAAGATAAAACGTACCAAACTGCCTAAAGCGCGGGAAAACGTGAGCGACCAAGTCGTGATTGGTTTCAGTTTTGCATCTGATTGGTTGATTAAGAATGGCGCGAGTTTTCTGGACCAATCACAGAGCGAAGTAAAGCAACTCGGGTCACTTTCGATACTCAATTGAAAACTGTTCTAGTGCTACCCTTCAGTCTCAACCAATCAGATGCAAATTTTAATCAGTGACGTTTTGCTCCTACCATTTTCACGCGCGTCAGGCAGTTTGCGTCGAAACTTCGTATCTAAACGTATCAAACAAACCCGGTTATTCCTACCTGGTGAAGTAATATTTACTCCAAATTATTTCGCAGGTCTTTGATGCAGTTCAACATATACAGTTTCTTTTCTCGTGGTAATACGGGTGAGTTTTAGTGAAGCTTTTCGGTGTTTACTCTTGTCAGAAAGAGATACAGCACGCTAGCAAGGATTTTCATTGGACATATGAAAGTCCGCGCAGAGGTAGTTGTTGCTCCCTCTCACGTATTGTTTTGTCTGTTTTTAGCCCTGGCGGAAGAAGAAGAGGAGATGAAAATTCCTTGTACGCAAGAACTCAAATTTTACAAAGGAGAAAATTTTACAGAAAAGAAAGGTAAGAGATTATTGCCAGTGGCTTGAGCAGGTCACAGTATAACATGATGTTTGCATAAATCCCGTTTAACATTGCTGGAAGGGTTTTATTTTCCATCCTCATCAAACCTGAGCTGCACTTTGTCTTTGTCAAATTGTTCAAGTTTGTCGTTTGTAATCAGCGTTGATCTTTTCCACCTTTATCAACTTCCCTTCATCTGGGCTTTTTTCTTTCCCTTTTGGTTTTTGGGTATACTTGAATTTCAAGGCTTTTGGCTACCTTACGACAGTGTTCCATAGTGCTACCAAGAATGCAGATATGAAGGGAAGGTGGAGCTGTTCCTGTATATACTAAGATAGAGGAGAGTTAATCCTTAACCCTTTACACCCTAACATCAGTATTCATACATTCTCCATACTGTTCTATATACATATACTGAGGTGCTGACAAGGGGAATTTGTTTAACAATCAAGTTTCTTTAGGTGGTGATCATTTCCTTAATTCCCATGACATTAATGAGTGATTCAGTGGTGATATTGTAAGGAGAAATTAGATATTACATGTTAGTCACTCCTAAGGGTTAAATGTTTAATCCTCAAGAAGACAGTTTGAAGCGAGTGACACAAGCGAGAGAGGAGTTCTCTCACTCTATCGAATATGGTGTTCAAAATTAACTTCGGGTAATTTTTCAAGATAGTTTAGAGTGAGGCTTTACAGCTAAATGACCAGGGGCTTGACTAGAAATTATACTCCATGGTGATAAAGGACTGTGCTGCCCTTAAGACGAGAAAAATCTAGTGTCACGATCTCGAACTTATCTCAAAAATAATCCTTCGCTTTGAGGACGGTCGTATCGTTTGCCAATATAAATGGGCACCGCTCTCAGTCCTCTCTATTCCAATCATAAAAAATCCTCTTCTGTTTTTTTCTCTTTTGTGTAGAAGATGATATGGTTTGTCCAGAATCCGATTCCAACTGTGATAAACTAACTTGGTAAGATAGTCGATTATTATTTTATAGTTTATCTCGTTCTTGCTGTTGTCGTAATTTTTTTTCAGTTAAATAAACAATTGTATAATTCAGCTATTTTTTTGGTGATGAACTCAATTTAGAATACACGTTAAATGTTTTGTTATCGTTTTTAGTAAATTTTGTCTTCGCATCGAACATGAATACGTTAAACATTGCCCCGAAAGGCGGATGAAACTTTTCTTAAGCATCAGTTTGCCACAAATACCTGGATAACCTTCTTCTCGGTTTTTTCTCTCTTCTGTTTTTTCAGGATTGTGTACCCAGCACCTGTTAAGAATACAAATCTTCTGTTGGTGATAGTTAAGAAGAATTGTCAGTGCGAAGACAATGAGAGAATAAAGGTTACACTCACACCAAAGGACTGTATCCTTTTGAAATGATTACTTCTGTAATCTAGGGTAGGGCCCGATACGGGCTCAAGACAACAGCATAAAAGAGGAGCACACACAGAATTTGTTAAAATTTAATATTCTTAGTTTCTCGTTAACATGTGGGACCCCATTAATAATGTGTCGCGTTGTTGAAACTTTCCTTGATTGCATGTACTCACAGTTGTATCCAGTATAACAGAACCTAGGCTTATGTCCTACAGGAAACCTCCGGAACTAGAATCACTTTGCAAAGCCAAAGGAGAGGTAGGGAAAACAGTTTCAGTTAGACCACAATGGAAACCACGTGCTTTGTGTCTTTATTAGTTAGAGGTCTTACTGGCTGAGTAGTAAGTGCGCTGCCCTCGGGATTCAACGACCCTTGTGTCGAGTATTGACACCTGAACTAGGATGCTATGTCTTGTCCCCATCTCGAAGGGATCAGCATCGCATCCTATTGGGGAGCAATCTGAAGGGGAGCAGCTTCTCATTCTTTTGAAAAAGCATGTAGTCTCGGAGAAACACCATTTGTCGTCGGGAGTAGCATCTCTTGCATCAAGACTGGTCACCATCTGAATCTCATGGAAGTAATACCGGCTCCGTACGGTTATATACGTTGCCATCCCTGGTATAGAGCTTTAACCTATTAAATTTCTTGCGTTACTCTTTGACTACTATTAATTAAGTTGTTTTTGTCTCAGGGCAAACCTCCTTGTGCCTCGGCCAGCCTTTGTTCCCCTCACCTAATCACTCTGCTCATTCTGCTCACATTCTCTCTTCTTCTTCCAACCAATCATCACGGGAGATGAGTAACTGGACTATATCGACTTCAGACGATACTGAGTGGAATCCCTGTGGTTACTTGAGCTTAACGAACGCTTTACAGTGAAAAAAAAATAGCTTTAGACACGTCAACAAAACAGTAGATACTGCAAGAGATGATGTCTTGATATTCCGTCAAATACTCTTGTCAATCAAAAAGAGGAGTCAGTGACGAGCGAATTTAACACTCAAGCGGACTGATTTGCAGAAGACTGCGAATTACCCGAAGGGCCTGGAATTGACTTAAATTTTAATTAAGCAGAGCTTGTAAAACACATTTTTATTAGAAGTATTTATACTTTTTGTTTTTCCTTTCTTGTTTTATATGTGACAATTTTAAAATCGAAATACCTATGCAAATGTGCAAGGATTTTTATGCCTTGAACCGTTGTGCCTAGAGTGGTCAAGCTTCTAGTACACCTCGTTTAATTTCCATAGAGGTAGAGAAATAACTGCATTCTGTACTTAATAGCTTAGTGACAAATCTCACCGATTCTTTGTGACATTTTGTCTTCGTGTTTTTGTCTTTTTATCACGAAAAAAACGCTATGCCATGCCTGTTATTTTGACTGATACTTTTAGTCTCGCACAGATAAAGAAGTTTCTCGAGCTAAGGTAGTTTCATCACAAACACACATCTGTAATCGTAATTTCTTGTCGCGGGCCATGGCTATTGTGGAATTCGGTGGTGTTTCACCTGGTTTTTGTGCTTTCGTTATTGTTTTGATCGAAAAGTACTCGACCTTAATCAAACTACACTACAGATAGTAACAGTTCGTTGTTTTCTGTGAGTTTAATTCCATAAGTCCGAAGATAATTTAATTTGGTCATCGCTACCGATACCAAGTGCCCGGTTTTGCCGCTAGTGAATTGTACTATGATGTTAGTTAACCCTTTCAAAGAAGCACATTGTAGTTTCTTTTGTAAGCTTATATAATTGTGAGCACTGTTAGGTCTTAATTAATAGAGCAATTTTGCGAACAGCATACAACTCAAATTTACATTGTTCGTCAATGCAATCTACACGCACTAAAGGTTTTGTAGAAAAGTGATCAGTTTTAATAAATAGGATAACCAGAAACATTTGTGCAGTCCATAACGTCATTTGTACGGCACTTATATTAAAGGAATTAACTGCTCCTTGTGTTTTCTGTTAATGAATGCGATAATTTGGGAGTAAAACGAAAATGCGACTGGTTTAAGTAGATGTTTAATAAATATTTGCTATCTACAAGTATTTACAAAGTGGAAAGGCTGTACACTTTGAAACTGCAAGTTCCTTCTTACAGATTTGTTCCAAGAAACCCCAAAATTGAGTTCATTCATTTTTTGAAGTGGTCGCAAACAAACAGACCATAGACCTTGCATACGTTTACATTAAATCTCAATCGGCTTTATTATCGGTTTCCGAATGTGGCGCATTGTTGACCCAGGCTCCGTGGGTTTAAATGGTGCTAATGAACCATAGGGCCTGGGAATAGGAAGTTCTGAGTCATCATCCGGGATGTAAGCATTAGGTCGAGGCTCAGCTGTTGTGAAGATTCCGCCAGGCAGTAGATAATGTTCTTCCTCTTCTTCGCGCTGTGGAAAATAAGGCGAATATTTTTCAAAAAGTGGTGATCAGAAGATAAATGAGAAGCAGGTTCTGCATCCAAGCGCTCATTGATCAGAGTGCACGCGCTCAGGACAACATGCATATATTCAAACAGCCCACAAAGCATGTGTATGATTTTCCAATTTTGAGGGAGGAGGGGTCTTTTAGGCGAGTGAAGGCAAGAAGTCGAGATACAAAGTACGCGCAACGAGAGAAACGATAAGGATGACCCTTCCAAGTAAGTGATTAGGGAAAATATCCTACCCTTGATACTACTACGCTCAAAACAATCTACGAACGTATGAAAATGTAGGACCGTCCTACACTTGTCAATTTTTGAATTTACGTTAAGACCTTCCCCTTAAAACTTCAAAAATGCGAGCTATATTATGGTGTTGCGTTTTCAACGAATTTTTGTAATTCTTGCGCTGATTACTTGATTAGACATTTTTAATTCCTGTTTGCCGATTTTGTCGTTGATATGTTTAGGGCCTGTTTACATGGAGGTGGGGGACCCCAGGCAGGTGAGGAAACCCGCCTAGCCGTGATCGAAAAATGAAACGCGTTTACATGCAATCTTACAACCCCAGGGTACTGGGGTGAGGTTTCTTGAGGTTGTTGTTGCGCTTGCAATTAAGAAGTTTGAGCAGAGGCGTCCCAAGCTCACATCTCGAGAAAGACGAAAGATTAATTCGCGAACACATATGTATTTATTCATGAAAGCGTCACGCGTTATGTTACGCGGTGTTTGGTTTCGCGAGGAACCGTTGACTTAATACGTTATACGGAATAGTTTGGGAAACCAAATATGGTCGATTTACAACGCTAAATATTCCGAAATGTGAACATTTTACACTCCTTGTGTGTCCGTTGCGGTTTCTGGTGATTTCTGCCATGAGACGGCTAGGAAATGGGCAAAGTTTTAAAACATACATGTTTCGCTTTTGAGCTTTTTGCTATGAACGCGACCCCGGCTAGGCGGGTTACCCCACCTTGACTCGTTTATATGGCAAATTGTCACCCCGGCTGACAGGGTTACCCTACCAAGCAGACCGGGCAACACGCCTAAGCGGGTCACCCCACCTATCATGTAAACGTGATCAAAATAAAATAAGAAATCATATGGACAGGCGGGTTACCCCACGTAGACGGGTTACCTCACCTTCCTGGGGTCCCCCACCTCCATGTAAACCAGCCCTAAATCAAATACTGACATTGAGCAAATTCGTTGTTGTGGTCTGTAATTAAAGTTAACGCCAAACCTCTTTCTTTTCTAAGAGTTCTTTCGTTCTACGTTCTTCGTCTCGAACCATTCTGAGCCATTCCCTCTCGGCCTCCTCACAGGGCGCCTCTCCTCGCTCCATGCGGACGTAACACTGCTCCAGCTCTTGTTCTTTGCCCTTCACTTCCTGCTGCAGTTTCATGGCGGCCGCTTGATTCATGGACAGCTCTGATACTAGCGCCATCATTTTACGAGTGGTGTCCTTTATTTTGGCCTGGTATTCATTTACCTGGGGACAGAGATATGGTACAAACCAGTTTGAGGCAGATCATTGGAGACGTTGTGGGGCATGCATTAGTTTGTAAACTGTCTTTCCGATAGGATGACAACCGTCGAAAAAGTAGAAACTCTTGTTTCTCTTGATTTCTTTATGTTATAAGAAGAGCATTCTCAATTTAACAGCAACTAATTTAAAAGGAATCTTTCACAAACAGTTAAATTTCCCCAAACTTTGTTATGAAAATTGGGTGTATCGCCGACGAAACAAGACAAACCTTTTTAGCTAATTCCAATGTATCTTCTTTGCCGGTCTCCGACTTTTTCTTTGTTCGGTCTGCCAATCTTGTGACCTCTTCAAAAATCAAATCTTTCTCTAGGAGTTTTTCTTCCTTCTCTGCCAGTCTCAACTCAAGTTCCTCTATTTTCTTGGCGAGTATCTCGGGTTCAGGGTCCTCGCCGCCAAGGAGCCGAACACGATTTTCATCCGAAGGATCTTCGAGCTTCTTCTCGAGCTGGGCGAGTCGCTCGCGACAAGCTACGAGCTGCAAATGAAAGTACACGATATCAAATGTAAATCCTCAATAATCTAAAGTGACCATTGTGTATAATGAAGAAGATCAAACTCGAATTTTAGAAAGCAGAAAATATTAAAACCTACTTGAATTTGTGAGGTGACAAGCTCGTTGTCTAGGGCTCTCTTGTTTGGCATGTTTTTCTGGGCGACCGCTATTGACCGTTTAGTCTCATTGACCTGCAAACAGATAAAATATGTTTCAGATTTAAAATAACTACAATGCAACAGGCAGAGTTGTTACTTAAGTGCTTTGCAATAGAATTCCTCAAGAAATCAGGACGACTCTGGTTTTACTTTACGTCTCCACCAATCAGATGCAAATTTACACGCTGAATTGCGACTGAATACCAGCGTTTCTCGGGCTCCATGTAGCTTGTGTGTACACCCACGTTTCTCCCGCTTCACATAGCTTGCCTGTGATTGTCTTGAGTGCGTATTAACTCCTTATGGTCATTTCCTTTCTGACTAGCCTGGCGTTATAATTACTTAAGTTTGAGTGTACGACACTCATCGACGCCCATCGAGTTTGGCAAGTTTAGATTGAAGAATTGTCCGGCTGTAGAACACTTCACCAAGAACAACGAGCTCGAAATTTTGTCCACGATTCCTTTCACTCCCTAAAGCTTCCCGGTCAAACAATACTGTGTTGTTTACAACGTTTAACTCGGAGTTTGAATCAATGTATAGTTATTACTCTGCGATGGGTATTTGAGGTAAGCTTTCGACCACGACCCTCTCATATCACCATCCACCCTTTCCTTGCCATTATAAAGAGTCGCACTTCTAAATTCATGATGGTAGATTTCGCGAATAAAATGCGAAATTTCAATTAATATTACATAAACCCCTTACCTCCATCTTCAGAAAACGTATTTCTTCTTCCCTGGCTCTCAATTCTACATCTCCATTGCGAATCATTGTGTCTGCAAATTGAATTTTAAATCACTACATTGTAATTCCCTTACTCGTCATTTCCTACGGTATGTAAACTTTCTAAACCTTCTACTTTTCTTTAGTTACTAAATGTAAGTTTCTCTCACCTTGTATGTTAAGTTTTTCATAAAATACACATACTTCTTCGTTGGTCTCGATAAGGTGTATTCCCCTAAACATAAATAAAGTACGAAGGGTAAAATGCTGTTTAAAAAACGGTTAAATGAGCCCTTGAACTTGGAGAGAAATACCTGCCCTTCATTGAGAATATGCATACCGATATGAGAATGTAAAGGTAAACTTTAAAACACTCAGATTTAAAAGACTTACATGTCGTTTCTTTCCTGCACTCCGCTTTCATAACGTTTCCTCAACTGCACCATGTTTTCTTCTGCTTTGTTTATTAGATCATTGAGTTTCGCAATGTCCAGCCTCTGTTGAAATTTAAAGCAAGTGTTACACACGGGTAAATTTAATCTGCACGATACAGCGCTTTCCGCTCGAGCGTCGGAAAACCAAAACCAAAGTAGTTACAACAGCCAGTCAGAAGAAAGGATTATATCCTGAAGAGCCAATGAAGGCTCAAAGGGAAAAAACATGTAAACTGCCTACAGCGCGGGAAAACGCGGGCGACCATGTCGTGATTGATGTTAGTTTTGCATTTGATTGGTTGAGAGAAAGAGGCACGAGTTTTTTGGACCAATCACAGAGCGAAGTAAAGCAAAACCAATGCAACCCCGTATTACTCAACTGAAAATTGCTCTATCACAGTGATACCATGAACATGAAATTTCTCATCAACCCAACGACTTGCATCAAAACTGTTCTGCAAATAAAATAATTACCAGTTGTTCTCTCTTCTCCCTGTTCTCTTCTTCAGTCTTTGATCTTTTACTCATTTCGTTTCTTAAACTATCGCGGATTACGACTGCATTGTTCCTTTTCAGGCGAGCTTTCTGAAGGAGTCTGCAATGAAAACAGAAAAAAAGACACTCACAAAATTAGAAACCATAAAAAATTTCAAACAAGAGCGTCTCATTCCCAAGTTCGTCCATATCATAATGCAGCAAAAATTTCGCAATACATCAGCTGAACATACCCTTGGATCATCTACTAAGGCAATTTTCAGTTGAGTGTCGAAAATTGAAAGTAATCCAGGATGACAATGGGTTTGCTTTACTTTGCTTTGTGATCGGTCCACAAAAACTGCCATCCTCTCTCAACCAATCAGATGCAAAACTAACAACGATCACGACTTGGTCGCCCGCCTTTTCTCACGCTTTAGGCACTTTGCTTGTTTTTAATTTGAGTTTTAATTGGCTCTTCAGGGTTCTTTCCTTTCTTTTGACTGGCCGTTGCAGTTAGCTTGGTTTTGGTGTTGCGACACTCAATCGAAAAGCGCTATAATGCATACAACATACGTTATTCTCCTTGAAGAATGTAAAAAATAAAAAACGGTTGGGTTGCCTAAGACTTTTGTT